GGGGCAAGAAAAGCGTCGCCCGGATCCTCCCCTCTCGCACTGGGACTCTCCGCACCCCGTCCCGCAGGAACGCCCGCTCGTGCTGCACCTGGGCCAGGAGCCGCCCGGGGGGCTCCCCATGGCCCTCAAACACCTCCAGCTGCAGGAGGAAGGGGGTCTGCACATCCCGCTTCACCAGCCGCCTGAAGGGCTTTTGGGGCTGCAAAGCCCAGAGCAGCCCCATGGGCTCCAGGCCGGAGAAGCTGCCTCCCGGCAGTGCAGGGCAGCAGGTGAGGTCCAGCCCCCCGTCGTCCCCTGTCTGGTAGCAGGCACAAGCCTGTAAGAGCTCGCCCACCTCGTCCCACAAGGACATCCGCAGCGTGACCTGCTGCCACGGGCCAAGGTCCTGCACGGCGATGGCCAGCGGCTCATCGAAGAGGCTGCGGGTGGCGGGCGAGAGGCGGACGGAGGGGACCATGGAGGAGAGGCCGCGGACAATGGCCGTCCCGGGGTGGACAGAGTACCATGGGGGATGAGTGATGTGGAAATGCTGGGCAAGAGAAACCTTGTCTGCTGTGACCACAACGGTGTGTTGAGGTGAGAGGTGGACAGAGGGTACCATGGGGGATGAGTGATGTGGAAATGCTGGGCAAGAGAAACCTTGTCTGCTGTGACCACAACGGTGTTCGGCAAAGAAAGCTGGGAGCAATCTGCAGCTGCTCCTGTGATCCACTCAGCTACATCGTGGTTGTATTTAAGCTGGATGTCCTGGCTGCTGTGCCTGGGCAGCCAGTCATGGAGAGCTGCCTCCTCCTCCTGCCCTGGCAGGAGTGGGACTGCTGGCTCCCCTCCCCTCTCTCCCTGCCCCATGTGGCTGTTGTGAAGCCAATGGTTCATGTATGCTTCGAAAAGATGCTGTACCAGTGCCCCAAGGGGCTGATTACAGGAGTAAATAAAGCCCTGCTTTCTCACAGCTCTCCTGTCACTGTGCATAGCTCTTCTTGGAAAAAAATGGTGGATGTGCTCCCTGTAGCTATGTTTGTGTTTCTGCACTGCTTGGAAGCATGTGAGAGAACCCTCAGCATGGTCCTATTTTGTAATACCAGGTAGTCAGAGGCATTGGGCAGACTCTCAGCAGATTTTCCTTGCCCATGAAGATTGTGTTTTCTCTCCCTCTGAAAGTGTCACGTGCTTTCTTATCTAGGATTAATTGTGTAGTCCAGCATCCATCCCCCCTCATATAGCAATTTCACCTCACATGGTCCAAAGAAAATTACCCCACTCCCAGCAAAAACTCAGCTAATTACTTCAAGGAATTCTGATCCCATTTTCTCCCCATAATTCCAAAGCAAAAAGCATTCTTCTGAAAGAAAATTGTACTGACTATAAATCAAGCAGAAGAGCTTGTAGGATGACCAAGGCATCTTGGTTAAAAAGAAGAAGCCCCCAGCGAGAGCACATACTTCTGAAGGGGAGACGAACCCAAGGCACAGAAGAGAAACATCCCATCCAGTGGGAAAAGCTGCCTGAGAGTTCTCAACCAGAGACCCTGGCATCCCAGTTATAACATTCCATATCATACCCTTCCTGCAGCTCCGTGAGCTTTATAGGCATTCAGGGTAAACCTGGTGAAATCCCTACACTGAAATATGCATTTCTGAGGGGGTGTTTTAAAATATGAGCTGAAGATACTAAGCATGCAGAGAAGAAGTAAACTCTTTTTTCTCATTTATAGGCTTGAAAACCAATTCTGGACAGGTCATACAGTAGTGGCACATGATGTGCTGGGAGATGTCAAGGCAGCCCTGGCAGTGCCAGTGGCAGGGCGGGCTCGGCACAGCCAGTCCCCTGGCACTGCGGGAACATCTCCAAAGGCAGCAGCTTTGCCCAGGCCCCGGTGTCCCATGGCTGCACAGGCTGTACTTGCCCACCCTGTCAGGCCAGCTGCCGTGGGGGCAGTTTCCAAATGGCAAGTGCAAACACAGGGCAGGTTCTAGGGAGCAATCAGCCTTCGGGCCTGCTGGTTATTACCCTTGCAGAAACAGACCCAGAGGAAGGCGCAGCTGCAGCCTTATTCTTCCCTGTACTTGGACTTCTCTCACAGGCTCTCCCTCTCCTGAACTCAGCCAAACTGCAGTCTCCCTTTGGAAAAGGTTGCCCCTTTGCCGCATGCAGACCTGGAGGAAATTGTCCCCACAGTCTGGGAGCACTTTGGGATGGACTGATTTCCCTGGACAGCCCAGACAGCTCACCCAGGGGACATGATCCCATACGCAGCAGGGCATCACCATCATGGAGCCCGTGCTGTGCTGGAGGAAAGGCAAGCTCCCACTTGTCCCCGATCAGGGGAATTGCGGCCAGCTCCACATGGGGCCAGCTCTGTGCATCAGGACAGTGGTGGGGCAGCGTGGCAGGGTCTGTCACAGAGCCCCTCTGCACTCCCCTCTGCCCCAGCTCCTTCAGGCCCCCCCTGCTCCAGAGGCCCAGTGAGGGAACATGTTTGGGGCTTGGGTCCCACCTTCCCCCTGGGGGAAGCTGTTCTGCAGAAGCTCATATGGGACGGGAGCCCACCTCGCTCCCAAGAGGGGCTGGTGCTGCCCTGCACTGGTGTGGGCTCATGGGGCCGTGGCCTGGGAGCATCTCATGGGAGAGACAGCTCCATGAGCCTGGTGCCACTCTCCTGGCATCTCCTGGGACTTCGCAGTCTTTCACCTCTCACCAGATGATGGCAGCTGGTGTGGCCATGGGCTTCCCCAAGGCTCCCGTCCCTCCCTCCCTCCTGCTCTGCCACCTGCTCTTCTTGCCCACACCCAGACAGAGCGCCTTCCCCACACAAGGGCAGGTCCATGGGCTTTGGCTGGGCCGGTTGGGAGCATGGATTACAAAATATCCCGGGCAGGGAAGGGCCTGGGAGTTTCATTTGCTACTAATTCTCTTTTATCAGTTCTGATCTCTTATATAAATTTTGCAATCCAAACACAAAGCAGCAGGGGTACATCCTTTGGGAGAAGATTGCAGAACAGCTTCTTGGATGACCGGACCATATTGGGGCCAGAAGCAGAAATTACCGGCCAGAGCACATCCTTCCAGAGGAGAGGTGAACCCAAGGCACAGAAGACACAGCTCTTCCAGAGAGATCTCTCTCCCAGCAGCCTGACAGCTCTTAACCAGAGACACCAGCACCACTACTTTTTCTAACACCCCATATTGTACACTTTCTGCAGTTCAGCAATCAGAGATGTTTCCATTTGTGATGACACATTCACTGTACATGTGGTGAAATCTCTGCACCCAAAGGTGCATATAGTGGAGGTTGCTTTAAAGTACAGGCTGAAGATGGTACACCCATGGGGAGACCACAGTTGTATGGAGAGTACAGAAATTTATTTAAAGTTCACAGGCCACCAGGGAGATAAATGAGCATATTGCATATGATCTGTTCAATTAAGATAAATTCAGATTGCTATCCCTTTTCCTCACTGCCTGATCAAAAAAGATCAGGGAAATTACAGAAAATGTGAACCCAATTCTACTCACAGCTGTGGGTATGTGAAGCCATGTTATTGGGGTTATACTGGTACAGGTGTTAGCAACATTAATTCAATAAATGAAAAAGCATCTGTCAACTCAGGTTCTTCAGACCTGGGTGTGCTTGCCTTTGGGGTAGAATAAAGCCTAGCTCTCTTGCCAAGCATCATCCTGATCCTTTGAATGAGCCTTCTGCTGCCTTATCCCCCATCTTAGATGGCCAGCTGGTTCAAAATGGACTCCTTGCTCCTGGTGAATGCTGGAAAGGGGAGGAGAATATGTCTAGCATTTACTTTCTTTGGGATTGCAAACATTTTTCTGGTTTGATTAACAAAACTCTTGCCTTTGCAGAAATGATCTGCCTGCCCAGTGATGAAGAGGAAGTGCTAATGGACTCGTACCTGTATTGCCTGTCAGGAAGAGAGGTCTCACCAATACTTCAAAGGCTATGTTCAAGACTCAGCCAGTCAACTAATGCTGAACTCAACACCACCCGAGGCAAATGGCAGCACAGCTGCTTAGCTGGACTACAGCTGAAGGTAACTGGTGGGGACATTCAAGTACGCTGACAGATTGCACAGAGTACATAGGAGTGATGGCAGCCACCAAGGTTTCTGCTGCATTAGCTCCAGGCATGCCCCACCTCCCATGTCCCATCTGACGCCCTGCCTCCTGACACCCTGCCCCCTGACCAACACCGACAGCATAGGCAGGATGCTGCCCACATTATTAGTGTAAGGAATGATTCTCTCAAATCACACCACCACTGCTGGAGCCACGGGGCGGTGCGACTCTCACCCGCATTCAAAAGGCATTTGCATGACTGGCTCTTGCTGCCAGATGACCTGGACACCAAATGTACCTGGCAGCCCACTGGAACCATGGCATTGCTTACGATCCTGTGTTTGCTATTGGTGATTGGGTGAGTTGCCGTATGGGCATGTTGTTACTCATCTTTCTTACTGCCTCAGTAAAACTTTATTTTATAACATGTTGTCAGACTCCATTACTGTTTACACCACACCATCCCAGAGAAAATGGTTCCCAGTGCACTCACAGCATAGCAAATACAGATGGGCCATTACCAACTTGGCACTCACCAGACCTAACCTCAGCTTCTAAGAGTTATTCATCTATCCAGACCATTATCTAGACTTCACCTGGCCTCAAGGGGAAAGAGAGGGACCCACAGCCTCTCAGCCACCTCCATACACATCCCTGTCCCTCCACATTGCTCCACTCCAGCACTTCAGGCACAAGTGCTTGTGGAGGAGCAGGCACATGTAGCCTATACATATATATCTCCTAGATATATGCCCAGGATATAGCCCAAGCAAGCCTTGCCTTGCCTTGCCTTACAGCATGCTGAGCATTCCCCTCCATTAGCCGTGGTGCAGCCTCTGGAGGATGAAACACTTCCCCAGGTCCATCAGACCAGAGTTGACAAAGGGCTTGTGTCAGATGCAGCCGGGGCAACAGCACCTCATATCTACCCCATTGCCTGATGGGGCAGACAGGCTCCGGCTACTTGGTGAGCCTTAGTGCTCCGCAGTGGGGAGTATTCCTTGAAGCAGCTGCTCCTTCCCCATACCCTCCCACACACAGGCAGGGAGATTGCAACTGAGGGGCACTTGCTGTGCTGGGAGACATCAAGGCTGCCTGGAGCCCTCGCTGCAGCCCTGGCAGTGCCCGCAGCAGGGCGGGCTCGGCACAGCCAGTCCCCTGGCATTGTGGAAGCATCTCCAAAGGCAGCAGCTCTGCCCAGGCCCCAGTGTCCCACGGCTGCACAGGCTGTACCTGCTGTCAGGCCAGCTGCCACAGAGGCAGTTTCCAAACGGCAAGTGCAAACACAGGGCAGGTTCTTGGGAGCAATCTGCCTTCAGGCCTGCTGGTTATTACACTTGCAGGAACAGACCCAGAGGAAGGAGCAGCTGCAGCTCCATACCCGGGTTTCTCTCCCAAACTCAGTGAAGGTGCAGGCTTCCTTTGGAAAAGGTTGCCCCTTTTCCTGAATTCATATATGCGGGGAATTGGCAACAACAGTTTGGGTGTTTAAAAAAATATACTGGACATCACCTACATGTGGTGAATAGGGTGAATCCAGACACTTCCTGGGAGATCTAAGTACTAGTACTTAGCACTAGGAGTACTAAGGGTATACCCAGGTTTCTGACTGACTGGTCAAGGACTGATTCTGATGTATCAGCCGTCCCTTCCCTTCTGGCAGCCATCCTCAGGCCATTGATCAGATTGTTGTGTGGGGTTATCATAAGGTGTGAGGTCCAAGGTGTGGATGAGAGGAAAACTGCACAGAGGAAGTGCCCTGTGGCAGATAATGTATGATCACCTAGAGGAGCAGAGCTGTCTCACCCATAGAGAGATTGTAATACAAGTGTATTCTTACACTTTTCCTGTTTTCTCCCAGTGAGGAATATTGACAGTAAACCCTGAGAATAGTTTTAGCTGGCCTTTGGATGAGAAGTTTTCAGCTGGAATTCCAGGTGAATTTGCAAGGTGCATTTCCTGCCGTGGGCACGACAGCTTCACAGTTCCACTCGCCCTCTGCGAACCTCTTCATCACCATGAGGTCATTTTGGAAGCCCATTTCTGACTGAACTGCTTTAGGTCGCACGGAGATGCCATCTCTAGAGCAGGGAAACAGAAAACAAAGGGCAGCTGTGGGAATGATGAAAGTCTCCTGTTTTCCTGGTGAATATATCCCAGGGAGATCTTCCATATGTAAGATGTATAGAGAAGATCACAATGCCAGTTGTCCGAACATGTTTTCCTCTCCAACGCCAGATCCCCAGTGATAAAGTGTGACATCAGAAGGTTTAACGAGGGCTCTCACAAGCATACACGTTATCAGTAGGCTCAAGGCTATCATAGCTTGTGCATCTGCCGCAGTGGGGCAACATGGGCTGGACACCAACCCTCAGGAGTTCGATGGGAGAAGCCCCTGCTTGGAGGCTGCTGATCTGTGTGTGGGTATGGGAAATTCTAACTGCTATGAAACATGAAATCAAGCAATTGCCTGTTTTCTCTTTATCAGCACCATTGCGCTATAAAATCATCAGTACCCAAGAAGGGTACCTTTGAATCCAATATTATAAAAAGCCATAGAACATATATGCTCCAAATAAACACTCTAATTTAAGACACCTCAGAAATCAAGGGAATTGGGTAAACTTAATTTTGACCCATCTCTTCATACTTGGTTGCAAACATACTAGAAAGAGAGAGACCATGAAAGCAAAGTCTGCGTTGTTAACTTAATGCAAATGGCTTTCTTTTCTAAATTTTGCAAAAGATGCCGTGTGCTTTTGGCCGAGCTACATAGAGTTTTCCTTGCTAGCCATTGTCTGTAAAATAAGGGTAATTATAAGTTTTTAGCTTGCCTTAGGTTGAAAATTGAAAAGTATTGATACTTAAGAAATATGGAGATCTTCAGTGCTGGAGGACATTAAAGAAAGATAAAGTATTGCTATTACAAGTGTATTTGTAGCATTATTATACATTCCATATTCCATTATTATTATTATTATTATTATTATTATTATGAATTCACACATGCATGGAAAATGCATTCCTATTTTTATATAGGGAACAAAGCATGAAGCAGATAAATTGCTTTCTTATTCTGAAACTGAGAGATCAGTTTGTCACTAGGTCTGAAATCTTCCAGCACATTTAGGCATCTCACTATTTTTCTCAGTGGAAGTCAGTGTAGTGATCCTGAAGGGAACACCATTGTACATCGAGCAGTTAGTGACCCACAACAGAGTTAACCCGAGCACGCCCAGGCCTGTGCTGTGCTGCACTGCACGTACAGCGTGGCCTTCAGGCCTGTGCTGTGCTTCAAAGATTCCCTGGCCGCAGGAAGAACTCAGCCAGCTCTTCCTTAGAGAGGAGCCCACAGGCAGCTCCCACCCAGTACCTGCGATTATGCCACCTGCATGGCCTTGCCTTTATCGAACAGTGCAGTAACACATTCTCATGCGAACATTGTTTCTGTTTGACTCTAGACATGATAAATAAAGCTGTTTCCTTCTCTTCTTAGAGTGTTAGCTCTAATAAATAGCATTTTTAATGATACCTTACAGAATGCGAGTGTCTTTCTTACTGGGATCATAATGGACCAGCATCCTAGTGCAAAACATTTGGCGCAGTCGGCAGGTCTCAGTGAGAAATGCCTTTCTGGAGAAAGAATAAAGAAAAGGGAAACTCTGCCTGGCTGGCTCCGCACAAATCCGTAAGGGGTATTTGCAAGGTGTTTAGCCTAGGTGGTTTCCTCAGTGGATTTAGAAACTGAGGAGGAATTATCAGAATGGCCCACTCCAGCTGAAGTATTATGCTGTCTTAGAAAACGGGCCACGGAAAGAAAAAGCTAAGGAGAATTTGTGCCGCCTTTGGTTGTTATTAACATGCTTGAGACGGACATGGGGGTGCTTACAGCCAAGGCAGAAAGACCTGCATGAGCTACTGGTGCAACTCCGCACAGCAGCCCCCAAGCAGCAAGCTGTGGTGCAGGCACCTGCCATACAGCTGCCCGTGGTGCAAGCGTCTGTGGTGCAGCCACCCGCGCTGCAAGTGCCTGCGGCACAGGCAGCCATGGTGCAGGTGCCTGTGGTGCAAGAGGGGCATGCAGAGCAGCCCGGGAAGGGCACCACTCGGGCACGAGCTGTTTGCCAGGGGGATGAATGGTGGAACAAGGACGTTCTGGTGAGGACGAGTAGACAGAAGGGTCAGAGGATGAGCGTGGCAACAGCATTGCTGTCCGGCCACCAATGGTTCACAAAGCAAAGGGCCCCCCAGGGACACCTCAGCACGCTCTCATGGTGTGTGATTTTATACAGCCTGAGTTTCAAGATTTAGCAAAAGCATATGGACAAAAGACAGGGGAAAGGCTGGCGCACTGGCTGTTGCAAGTAGAGGACTTTGGAGGAGATGATAGTGTATACTTAAATCCTAAATAATTAGAGTGCTTGGGTGCCATCTCGCAAAACCATGATTACCCAGCAGCTCGGAGGAGCACAGGGTAATGCAGCCCGCTCCTTGTGGGCATGGCTTCAGGAGGCTTTAAAGACAGAATACCCCTCACCTGCTGACTGGGACGATGAAACAGCATTGTGGAAAAGTGTATCATCTGAGCCTTGTCAGTATTTACGGGAACTAGCCACAGGGCCAGGCATGTATTCATGTAACTTGTTAGGTCCTGGTATGGAACTTTTTGCACCCAGCATGAACAGCCCCATATTAGAGGGTGCCCCATTTGCCTTGTAAGGACCAGTAATTTCCTTGCTAGGGGCTGCTGCAGGAAAAAAACAGTGGGGGAGGTTATTCTATCACTAAGACAGCTTGCAATTATCAGACTGAAAAAGAAGAGACGGAGCCTGAAGCATTTCAAATGCAGCAGCTCACGTTTGCATGAGAACATCTTGCTGCACTGTTTGATAAGGGCAAGGCCGTGCAGGTGGCGTAATCACTAGCACCGAGTGGGAGCTGCCTGCCGGCTCTGCTTTTAGGAAGAGTTGGCCGAGTTTTTCCTGTGGCCAAGGGATCTGTGCAGCACAGCACAGGCCTGAAGGCCACGCTGTGGCTGTGCAGTGTGGCACAGCACAGGCACACAGGATGGTGACCATCACCAAATTTGCCTGTGAGTAATGAGAGTACTTCCCACAGTAGGGCAGGCTTCTTTAAAACACTGTGTAAACACACAGATGATTTACAGACTGCCAGAAAGTTCACTAGCTTCCTGAAGTTACCTAGGGTGTAGCAATATGGCTGGCGAAAGGAAAAAATAAAAAATTAAGCACTTCCCTTCTCTAGCCCCTCAGCCATGCAGAATCGCTCCTAGAGCAGATACCCATTTTAATGAGAACATTTGATTTCTCTACCCACACCAAAGCCCTTCTGCCCCCAGATGAGATACTGTGATCTGGACTGCTGATTCACACCTAGCAGGTGTAAGGCGAGAACAAGACAGAACACTTTCTAAACAAATGTATGTTTATTTTGTTAAAAAATAAAGAGTTACACTTGCACCAGAGGCTTCTTTGTGGTCAGAATGCCCTTCTCAAACAGGAGTGTGGCTAGAGAAATCTTGTCCTCCAAGGTTTCACATGGAAGGGTATCCACACTGACGTGGTTTGGATAGGAAGACAGGAGAAATTCGATACTGTCTGTGTACTCGGGATCTATCTCAAGGAACTTGGGTTCTTCCTTGTGATACACTCTTGAGTTTTCTGTCGTGTAATACAGCATCACACCTGCTTCTTCATTACACAATCTAATGATGCCATGGCGGAGGAGACGTACTTGTGTGTCTTTTGTTATCAGTATATCAACATCACAGGGCCCTCCATCTTGCCACCGGGCCGGGAAGCCGTACATGCTCTGCGCCTTTTCACTTTGTGTAAGCACTGGGGGGAGACAGTCATGAAGAAACGACTTGGCTCTCTGATCCACGGCAGCGTCAATGGGTGCATAGTCAACAAGTTTCTTTATCAGGCTCTGCACCTTCCCCATAAAGGCTGTTCGGCGAGCGTCGACTGCGTCCGAGTTGGTGACCCCCATGTACCCCAGGTAGTCCATGGGAAGCCCTCGCCGATACTCCACGTCCTCCTCCAGGGCCATCTGCAGAGCAGCCGGCAGGAGCTTCTCCAGGAAGTCCCCCCAGGAGTTCCTCTGGTAGGAGGACACCGTGATGTGGAGCGAGTGCGCGTCAGGAAGACAGTCACCCTGGTGGATAAAGCCTCGGGGGAAGTACAGCAGGTCCCCGGCCTCCAGCACCGTCTCCAGCATGGGCTCGCCGAGCTCAGCCTGTGTGAGGTTTGCGCTGGAGAACTGGGGCAGCACCTCTGCATCTGTCCGGGGGCTGTAGACGCGCCAGTGCTTCTTCCCCTCCAGCTGCAGCACGAAGGCCTCGATGTCATCATAGTGGGGGGCAAAGCCCTGCGTCCCAGGTGGCGTCAGGTATGTGTTGGCCCCCGCCATGCTGCCGAAGTGCTCCTGCAGGATGGAGAGGAAGTGCCAGACGGTGGGGGAGAAGGCCTGGGGGCTGAGGAGCCGCAGGGAGCAGCCGTTCTGGTAGAAGTCCCAGACGACGGCGGGCAGGGCCCGGCCGGACGGGTTGTGCGTCTCCCGCACCCCCTCGGCGTAGCTGGTCACGTCCAGGTGAGTCCCGAAGTGCACCTCGCCGC